CAACAGTGCAGAGCACTACTGTATATCTGACAGAGGAGCTTGCCATTAATTCACTTCTTTACAGCCAGCAGAACATATACAGTGACACACTCACAGGGTTCAGTCGAGCAATGGGATGTCCATCGCTCAGAGTCACAAGAGCGGCAAAAGGTAGCATGTAGACACTGCAAGAAGTTACCTTCTTCTTTATTTGTTTCTAATTTAATTATTTTCTATTTAACTATTTAGTTAACGTGCAGATGGCTCCTCCCCCACCTCATCTCTTTTTGCCTTCACACTGGGCATGGTCTTGGGTTAAACGTGACTCCTACAACTGACAGTTTTTGGCAGCAGCACAGCACAAAATCTAACTGGGCTGCAAAATGTTACTGGGTTGCCTGTGGCACCTGCCAGTGATGGGTAGCAGTCCCCTGACACACGCCGCTGGCCTGTGGACAGCCTCTGTGTACCTCCCCTGCCGTGTGACCTGCAGCCAGCCTGCCCTCTGCCCCGAGGTGGGTCGGAGCGTGCTGATGAGACAGGCGTGATGCTGACCAGTTATAATACTGCGAATATCAATAAGTCCCCTTAACGTTGATTATTAGCAACGTGATGGTGATAATAGTGGATTACCAGATTTTTTGTATAATTAGATCATCCTATTCCAGCAGGTGGGAAAAGCCAGGATGGAAGAAATTCAGGGAAAACAGGTAAGGACACATGCATTCTTGAGAAGCCGTGGACCAAAATCTCAGCTTCAATACTCCTGTATCTAATTGCTAATGAGCACCTTCACTAGAATCGGGGGGTTAAGAGACTCAAAAAAGGCTTGAGTGCTTTACAAAGCCTTTCTCATAGGATGTGTGGCAGATCAGCCACAGTCCAAAGACACATCTTGTCTCAAGGCATGGGCGAGACTCTGTGAAAGACACACAAAGAAACCAGGTCCTCCCAGTTCAAAGGAGTGCAAAGTCCTCAGCAAAGTCTGGTGTAGTGTACAGCTATGCAGAAATATAGAGATATATTTTCTCTAAAAGGCTCTTGTGCTTACTAAATAATATATTGATTGACAAAGTCTGTGTGGTGTCTTATGACCACCATTCTGATTCCTTGGTGAAAAAGAAGTGCAAGGACCAGCGCTGAAGCACCCGTCTCAGTACTAGGGGACAGTCCTGCAGTCTCTGGGAGCCATGAGGGTCTTCTGTGCATCGCCCATCAGTGCTGGCCCTCCTCCTCACCAGGGACTCCCGACAGGCCGTGCCTTCATCATTGCCCCTGGGAGAACCTCCAAGCTCAGATCCAGAGCCTGTCTGAGTCCTTGCTTCACAGTCATACCCCAGGTATGCCCCACTCCTCTCACCCTGACAGCCACTGAAAGCTAAACCCAGGTCCTCCTGCCCCCTGCTCTAACCTGAATAACCAGGGGACCAGTGCTTCCCAGCAGGTCCAATGCACCCAGAGAGACAGGCAGAAGGCAGAAGTCTGCCTTTTCCCTCCGCCTGTTAACTTTCAGAGTCCTGTTTTTCCTCCTGTTTTCTCTTTTCTGTCTTATGGTCACTTATATGCACCTCTTGAGCAGCTGTGAAGCTGAGCAGGCACCAGAGGGATAAAATGGAGGCGGAGTTTGGGAGAAGCTGAGCAGACAGGAAAAAAAAAAAAAAGACAACCATACCCACTTAAAGATTTACTTAGTGCAGAAGGTCTGCATTTCAGAGTAGAAGTTAATGGAGTTGTAAGGGTTTTTAGCAGCCAAGAACATGGCCTCCAGCATCCATTTCCTATCCCCAAGTCACATGTGGTTATGAGCTGGAAGTTCTGCGTCTTAATTCGCTATTTTTGCTCCTTGCTTCACAGTAGGTATCACATTTTGGAGTAGTCCATTCTGGTTGGTTAGAGGAGGAAGTCTTATGATTAGTTGTTGTAATTCCTGTGTGAAGACTGCCCAGAAATAGCCTGTGGTGCAGTGGCCTACTCATGTGGCTGGAATTCACGTGATGTGGGATCACTAGGACATATTTTGCCATCTTGGGCAAAAAGCTCCATTTTTGCTTGCATCTACATGCACTGAGCCGTGATACAGGACAGACATCAGCGAAGCACCACATCCATGTGAAGCATTTCTACAACAGGCACAACGGTGTTAATTTGTCTCATGGCTGAGCTAATATTCAGGTACGTAGTGGGCCAGATCCTGCAATAAGATACAGTGTCTGCAGCCTCTTCCTTACAATGGGCCTGGTGTAAGTCAAGGCACTACTCTCCCAGCATGGGAAACAAGCGACACGGGGAAGTCTGCTCTGGAGTCTCTCTACCAGTTGATGGACACAACAACAAAGTCAAAACAATTTTCTGGGACTAACTGGAGGTTCAGAGGTTCCAAACTACATTTAAACAGGATCTAAACAAACAGTTCTGAGCCAGATTGATTCCTGGTGCAATCCTAATAAGGCTGGAAGAGCTACACCTGGGATGATTTTGGTCCCACACAGCACATCAATGGTCAATCTCTCAATATGCCTGGCTATAAACGTCTTTAAAAATGATGTTCTCTTTATAATACTAAATTTTGATCTGCCAAATGTAGTAGCCATGAGCTCTTCCAAACTAAATACTGTGAGGATTATGCATAAATACTGAAGTATCCTAATCAGCCTCTTGGTGAAAATGAATTGATCTATTAAGACAATAACTATTTGCTGAAGTTTTTATTCTGTGTTTTTTACTCTGTAAGTAGCATATGTGATTTCATTGGTTGGCTATTTTAAACCATAGGGGACCATTGGTGGAACAGTACAAATCCCTCTGAAATCCAAAATTGCCAGCTGCAATTATAGTCTGCATCTAGCATCTTCTCTAAGGACTATAAATGCTTCACTACTTTAATTTTGCTTGGCATTTGCATCACTGTGTGACAATTACTAAGCAATAGCAAAGGATGGATTTAGTAATGAAGTCTGGACAGTAAAGAAATACTGTCCAAATTGAAATATTCTCTCTATTTCAATCTAATATTCGCCAGTTTGTGCACATGGATACATCACATTTAGATACAAAGCACTGGTAAGACAGGTACCTTCCTTTTTGCCGCTGAAACATCTGTGGCTTTTTGCACGTTAGAGATGAGGGAAGTTGCTTTCTCCTCATATCTCTTGATTGTTTTTAACTACACAAAAGGATGAGATATTAAGTTGTAAATACTAGTAATTAAAAGGTCAGACTGGCAACTGTATTATTCCAGATAAGGGTTGTGAAATTCTACCAATTTCAGTGATGTTACACTGGTATAAAATGGGAATGAAACAGCAGTGGCTCAGCTATTTTTTGAGCTCATATATATAGAGTTTTAATTATTTGAACTATTTGTGATTGCCCCTGAGTCCTAGCTGTATTAGAAGACAAGATCAAGCATTATACCTCCAACTGAATGAGCAGAGATACAACTGGGGAAACAAACGACAACATTGTGAGAATATGGGGCTTATACACGAAGGGTTCTGGGTATTGCCAAAATTAGTTTCCCGTGTTAAAAAGAGATATGCTGAAGAAGCATTCTTTAATGGGGAAAAATAGGTTTTGGAGAAGTGAGATATAAAATATTTATAATAAAAAACACCTGGGGCACAGTGAGCTGTGCAGAGTCAATGTTCACAAATGACACTATTTACCTTCATCAGACAGAGCTGTAAAACTTCTGAGACCTAAGTAATTTAGGCAAATGGGCAACACAGTGGAAATGCTCTTCAATGTCATTGCAAGGTCAAGCAGCACACAGTAAAATACACTAAGAGACAAAAATTTCAACTCTTCACATGCTTCAAAAGGGTTCACAATTAATGGTATAAGCACTGGGACCTTGCTATCCTATGCCGCTCTTTGGGACCCAGAGCTCCACGTGCAGCTGCAGTCTAAAAAGGTATTAGGCTGAATAAAAGACTGGACTGAAAAATCACAGTACCAGCAACAGTGCAGTGCTGTTTTGCATACTTTGGGCATCACTGCTGAGGCCCTTCAACAAGAATTAGATGGGTCTTGGACTAGGCTAAGCATGATCCAACACAAAGACTTTCAAAGACAGACTAGAAAGATGTGGTTATTTTATTCCAAAGAGATAATAAACAAGGCCATGAAAAAAAGTAGATAAAATGCTGAAAGAGGTATTTACCAGGAGCTCCTATTCTTCACCACAACATGGTAGTGGTGTTCCACCCTTATCTCCCCACCAAAAAAAAAAAAAAGAAAAAAAGAAAACCCACAGAAAATTCCCAACAATTGGCTGGTCTTGTCCTTGTGGTTTTCTCAGTCACACTGGGAGGGCAACTAACAGCATTCACCAGCTCTGCACACCACCAAGTTGATAACATAACAGTATTAAATTGATTACATGAATCATGGTTGGAGCATAGGAGGTTCTTAGACATTTCTACCTGACCTCAGTTTACTAATTCTTGACAGAAACCTTCCACATGTAATGGCCACCCCATGCGATATAGAAAACCAGAACAGCTGGTGAGTAACACTGTTTTGAAGAAGGAAGAGTCTAGACAGGGTAAATCCGTCCAACCTGACCCAAGAAAACCAGGTACTGAAGGACCTAAGTATTTTGGATCAGGAAAAGACTCAGCTACGCGTGGGAGATACAGTCAGATGAGAAAGTTGTACCTCTGCCCTTTGGCCAAACTAATGGCCTATCAAATGGCACCTGCAGCTACCAGCCAAAATGTCGTCAAGCCTGAATGTTTCCCAATAGTGCACTGAAAACAACCAAATCCACATAGTTCATGCTGATACTTAACACAACCAAAGATTCCATAGGACATTCCATAGAGCCAGGAAAACAAAATGGGGTGCTGTATGGGAAGTTACACTGGAGCAGAAGTAATGTCTAGAGTCTTTTCCCCCCATGGCTTTTGCTCTTGAACACTGTGAACAAATAGACCTCAAATGTTTACAGGCTAAAGACAAAAACTGCATCCCACCACATATTTCCAAAAGGAAGAGTTAGAAAAATGTTTGTCTCCTACCTTGTTAATTTTGTCCCAATCTGCTGCCTAAGTTCCAGCCTCTCCTCATCAGTCTGCATGGGGAGGATGTTCTTTTCCTCCAGTTCTCGCTTGGAAGGCCTGTTGCTTAGTTTGATTGCTAAAGAGTCCTTCCTGCAGACTTTCATTGCCAGGGAGCCTGTGGGAGAGAGGAGAGGCTCTGCCAAAGGAGGTGTCATCATTTCATTACAGCATGCAGCAGGCAACCGAAGTACTAGCCAAGGGAGGATACGAGGCTCCCATTTACAGTGGTATGGACTGTGGGAAAAGGGGGGCTCAATTAACCACAATTCATATCATAATAAGGAAAAGCTGAATTTGGTAGGTATACGGGAAAGTGAAATTAAAACATTGCTCCATAGAGGGGAGGGGAGAAGAAGGGCATGCTTCAGAATTGCTAGTAGCAGCCGTAGCTTTCTCTAGCACAGTGTTTCTGAACCACATAATGGAATGAATAATTCAGCCTTAGAATCTGGGCAGGCAGCAGAGCTACAGCATGTGGGAAGAGAGCGGTATCTCTCTCTTGCAATGTATAATAGCAAGACATCCAGGCTAGCACTGGAAGGAATCAAAAGTCAATCAGAAGCAGCACAGGTCTCTATGTACATTAACTGACACTGCTTCTCAGGCAGTGACAGTGGCAAAGACATGGTGAAAACCAGCAGCCTTTCATGGCTCAAGCTTGCTTTCCTAGGCTTGCATCCAAAGCAGTTTGAGCAGGGAGGAGAGACACAAGCAGACAGAGAGACACAAACGCATGAGAGCTTTTGGGCTCTGGCAGGAGAGTGTGATCTGCTCTGTTTCTTAGTTTAAGAGCAAGGACTGCTTAATTTCACTTGCAGGGTAAGGAGGATTCTGCGGAGATGAAATACGCCTGTTTCAGGATGTTCTTTGTATGTGTTTTAAAAAAGGAGCTGTTTGTTTGTACCGCTCCCAGTTTTCAGAATAAAAGAAATCCAAGGGCCTGAAACTTCAGCTCGACCTGCAGGATGACAAGCAGTTGTCATACACAAAGTACTGTGTCTTGTCTTCATGGGAGAGTCCTATGATGCCACACCGAGGCAGGAGAAGGGTTTTCTCAGAGAGGACAGGACGGGGCCGCAGGTCTCTCTCCAGGCTGTAATTGCGATATGGCTGTCAACTAACCTCTTTTCTTCTTATCTGAGCCTAATTCTCTGATCATGACCCCTTTCAAAGTATGTGCAGACTTATGATGCTGACATGATCTAATACTTACTATACATAAAAGCTCTGCTTCTTTATCGGTGGCACTTACTTCATCCTCCTGAAGTAACTCTATTGAGCTGATCTTGACTTAAGCCAAAGGCAGGGTTTCTCTACACCGAGGACACTTGGGAAAGTGAATCCAAAAGTCAATTTGGAAGTGAACTAATATAAGCCAAAACCAGTCATTTGAATTCTGTCTGAGAGCTACCCAGACAGGGATTCATGTGGATTAGGGAAATCACTACCAATTCATACTACTTGCTAGTTTGGACTAATTTACCAAGCATCCCCATGTAGTCAAGCCCTGAGAGATGCTAAAGCCATAGTCAAGAAATTAAATTCACAGGTCTTGTGTCTCCCTTGTGTATTGAGAGTTCACAGTAAAAATTAAATAAATGAGAAAGGAAAAATGGAATGAGTCTTACTTGTAAATAATGAGTTATCCTCATCTTCATCTTCCTCTTCCTCCTCTTCCTGTCTTGTGTAGAGGCAAGAAGAATCTTCATAGTCGGTTTCATGAGGCACATTTTCTTTATTGTCATCGCATTCGATCACAACAGTTGGCACTTGTCTCATGTCTGGAAGGCCCCCAGGTCCTGTTTTTGTAACACTGTCACCTGTGTGTAAACCAGAGCTGTTGGGAAAGGAAAACAAATAAATAAACTAAAGGAAAGAGCTCAATGGAAGACTGAGTTGCTTCTCTCGCTGTTTTTAGGAAAGCAGTGGTCTTTCATCCCCTTTGAGAAGAAATGAGGACAGAAAGATCTTCATGACCAGAGAGATATCTAATGGGTTTAAACTGAGTACACATTAGATTTAAGGTACCACACTTGTTAGGGAGAGGTAGGACAGCACGCAGGCAGAAACACTGGCAGCCAGGACCAAGAACTAAAGATCTGTGGCAAATACAGTCTCAGGACTTAGTGAGAATTGCACCAGCTACTCAGAGTGATAAGCATGTCTTCAGCCTGGCATCTGTGTCACCACTCCACTGGTGTGTGGGCCGTGAGGAGAAAATGTCTCACCTGAATGCTAAAGGTGGAGTAAGAGAGTGGCGGGAAGGAAAGGTAGAGATTGTAGAGGAGAAAGGCAGAGGGAAACCGTGACTTGCACTTCTGGGGGGGAAGAAAAGGTAGAGATTGTAGAGGAGGATTGTAGAAAGGCAGAGGGAAACCGTGACTTGCACTTCTTGGGCAAGATGTTGATTGACTTGAGGGGAAGGCGAGGGCAGAACTCTCTGAAGTGCAGGGGACCGAGTGTGTGAAACTGGGTTTGGAGAAAAGAGACTTTGGGAGCTGGAAGGTTTGTTTGCTAATGGCACAGTTATATGTTGTGGGGGCTGCAGCGACGAGATCCCTTCTCCTGCCCTGGCTCCTCACTCCAGCCAGGTGCTGGAGAACAACCTAAACTGCACCTAACATTGTATTTCTTTGGTCACATCAAGTGTGACTGATCATTGCCTGCAGCTTACTGGGTAAAGACCTGCGGTAGCTACTGCTGCCACCTAGCTCTGTTTATGTGTTGATTTCAAGGCCCTTTACCAAGGAACATATCAAATACAAGCAGGGAAACAGAAACACGAGGAGGTGAAGATCAAAGTCGAACAAAAGGTGAAAGGAAAAGTCAGGAACACGATCAGGTTTCCCAACCCATTTTTATCTAATAGCTCATGTTGCTTTTCCAACGTGAAATGAGAATGAGAGACTGGAAGGCAAAAATGATGGCTGCTCAGGTTTATTTGTGAGTCAGCAGAAACTGCCCTTTCTCTTAAGTCCCAGCTGAGGCAACAGCTATATGAAAGGTGAGGAACATTTGCCTGTTGGACACCCTCTTTATGTCAAATTCCCACTTTACTTTCCAGAAGAACATAGGTGTGAAACCAGACGTGCTGGCCAAGTTGCACTTGAGGTACGCAAGTTTGGGCCTGGCCCTACCAAATGCTGAGGGGCCTCAGTTCCCTTGAATATTGTAGCCTGCTCAGAATACCAGAGGCATTCTGCATCTTGAAAAACTCTTGTATTCTCCTCTTTAAATGTTTTTCTACTGAGTCAACTTGAAACATTTCTCTTTCTTCTAACTCTAAAGGTAACATGGACTCTAAAATGGCTGCCAGATAACATCCCAGAAAGATTTAAACGCTAGTCCACAATGTGCTTAGGGATTAAGGAGAAGAAAAGGCTTCAGATCTTGTGAGCAAACCATAGCACGCTGTTGTCATCATCTTTGGCTTCAAAAAACTAATGTTATTAATTGCAACATTTACTGTTGCAGACTAACCACCAATGACATGCATAGCTTTCCTGGAAGCCTTGAGGAGAGGAACTCCATTTTTGTAGTGATAGCCTGTGTTTTGTACCACAACGCAAGAGAGAGTCATGAAGAACTGGCTTGTGAATTTTTGTATTAGACTTCAGTGAGTCTGACCCAAAAATTTTATCCCAGAAGTAGTTTTAAAATTCATGAGCTGAATTCTCCTAATGACACATAAATGTACTACAGTCTTTAAAAACTTTCAACTAACTTTTAATTTATTGATATGCTTTAATAATTTTATCAACCTCAATTTTAAAATCTGTTTCCTCTGTAACCTATTTTTTGTGTAACTCTTTTTAAGACGCAAGGTAGGAAATTCAAAAGCCTGGAATTAAATTTCCAAGAGAAACTAAAACGCTGTGAAATTCTGTTAACATTGCCAAAAAAAAAAAAGAAATAAAAAACTTCCAATGCTGAACACAACCACTGGATCATTCAGTTAATTTTAAAACGACACATACAGAGAGAGCAAGTAGAAGTTCACTAAGTCCCTTCTGGAAGTACAAACAAAAGGAGCAAAAAGTAGTTCAGCAGTCAGGGCCATTTGGTGCCTCCCTGTTCTGTGAAGGATGTACGTAGGATACAGAGGCATTCTTATGGACATGCACACAGGGCAGCAGATATCAAAGAAGTGGTTCGCCAATTTAGGTTATCAAGTAGGTATTGGATGGCAACAAGATTTACAAGTTACCACAGGGGATCTCTATTTGAACTAGTGATCTAGAAATAGGCGGCTTCTCATCTCATTGTAATTTTTCTGAATCATCCACTTTCTTGATAATACTACTTTCTATTTTAAGCCCCTCATTCTTCCTGGTGTTTTGTGTTCCTCTTGATTAAAATCAGCCTTTTCCACAGCATTTTGACTCAGTCAGCTGTCTAAGCAAAGCACTTATGAAATACATGCAGTACTGCAGTATACTCAAGAAAGACGAATCAAGGTCACTGGATATTTCCATTGTGTAAAAATTCCTCTGGGTCTTTAGCAAAAACCCCACATGGTCAGGTGGTCTACACCACAACATTTTTTACCATTGTTTACCAAAAAGCACGCTATTGTTTCAAACAGTCCATTTTAAATCAGCTTTGTGTTTTGCAACAAAATCAGAGAACAAAGCTGCAGCTAAGCAAGTGCTTGTTTTAAGAAGATAAATGTATCTTAACACATAGATTTGAATAATTCATAGCTGACTAGTAGAAGCACTTGCAATTACTGTTGCGTCATCTTTGCGTGATCGAAACAGCAAAAAAGTTACACCACTATAGCTTACAGTGTTTCTAGTGAGAAAATATTTTAATGAAAAATCAGAATTGAAGCATATGAGTGACTCATCGTACAGACAAAATCCGAAAAGAAGAAAGTGAAATCCCTCCCGTAAAATCTAGTGGGAAAAAAACGCATGCTTCTCATCTGTCATCCCCGGCTCTTTGATTTTGGAATAAAGAATTACATTTTTATCAGCATGTTTTCAGATCCACAGTACACTCTTCTGTACTTATCAGTTAAAACAAAAATCTGAAAAAACTTCAAACCATCGTATATACATTTCTACAACACAGGCACATGCATGAGAGACAGAGAGAGAAGGCAGAGCTATAAATATTAAGTGCTTCTATCCTTAGGCAATGGTAAAGTTTAGACAAAAAGCAATTCTCCTGACAAATTTTATGGAAGATAAATGTTTTCTGACTCAAACACGTTTTATAAGATTTACAAGACACTAGCAGGGAAGCCTAATGCATTTCGTTTCATAAAACTACAGTCTGAAGCTGAACTGGGTGTCCCAGAGGAACTGGTCTCACACACTGTCTTTTTGGACACAGCGATTTTTCACTGCTCTGCCACAGATGCAATTCTAGCCCGGAGTGAGATATTGCCACTTTACAGCTCTTCAGTACATACGCTGAACAGAGGCCTTGATTCAGCTCCTAGCGTACAAGAGCCCACAGAGTAATTGAAATTAATTGTCGTCTTACCAGACAGACTGAGAACTATATGGGCAAGGCAGAAAATAAGGCTCTTTCAGATCAAGAAGCTGCCTCCCTAGGTCAAAATTAAAGATACATTCCAGGGGCACAGGAGGGTTTCTTAAAGCTTCTTTTGCTGCTGTTCTGACGCACGGCTTTTGGGCAAGGTCTTTCTTCTCAAATTCATTTCGGTCAGGAGGATGAAACCTTCTGCGGACTTTGGTGGCAGGGCTTATCAGGTTTTCACCAACTCTTCAAACGCATTCAGAAATGGTAAAAAATTATGCCCGAATCTAGAGTTTTACTTACGCTTGACACATACCCTTCGGGCTGAAGAGGGGAGTTGTTTGCATTAGGGCACAAATTGGCAACAGAGGTTGGAGAAAAAAAGGTTACAGAGAAATTACACTCTTCTCTGTTTCAACTTAATCTATCATAAAGCTGGTAATTTATCAGGGAAAATAGAGGCAAACTGGCAGCACAAATGACACGTCGTAATAGTCATACGACGGCAAGGGACAGATTGCCCTTCTGAGAATAGGTTATGAATAGATGTTACGAGTACCAGAAAATGTTTGCAATCAAAAGCGTTAAGTGTGCAAATGAACTTAATGTTCTATAATGTCTGTAGTAAAACTGAATAAAAAACCCCAGGAATTAACTGCCATTTTAAGTCATAAGAACAACTGGGACTTGAATAGCTATTACACGCTTTTAATGTACCTTAAGACATTAACTTATTAATATGCAGTAGGTCTAGGTGAGGCAGTAACATGCAACCACTCCTGCAGAGGGGAAAATAGAGGTAGAGAAGCTCGGTAGCTTTCTCAAGGTCATAGACAGCAAAACAACTTCTGGCTTCCAGGCTGGTACAGAGGGACAGCTCAATTTTCTCTGGCAAGCTTCTGGCTCATTGGCAAAACACTGACTTCGAGTATCAGTCTTCAGACGTTGTTAGACTACCCGAATTCGAGACCTCGCCTGTGAAAGCAAAACATCCAGACTGCTAGAGGAAGGGGATGTTCTAGTCTTTTGTTGTATGTTCCTGTCCACACTCACAGTCCTGGTGGAGAGAGGAGGTGTGAGTCTAAGAAAAGTTTACTGGGCAAAATGTGGAATTGATACAAACTGGTTACAGATTCAGTGAATATCAATGGAACTTAACACATTTGAGGAACTTCCACTGCACAGGGAACTAAAAAAAAAATTCTCCTAGAGGAGAAAAATACAAAATTTGGAGCAGAATACTGATCTGCACTTGTCTACATGACCCTCCCCTATTAAAACCAAAATACTATTCTAAATAACCCCCCAAATTACCAGACTTGGCAGCAATTTTGCTGCAATATCATGGCAATTATTCTAGAACATTGTAGGATTCTTTCGAGAGAAAGGCTGAGATCAGCAAAAATAAACGCTGCCAATGAACTCAGCATTCCCCAGAAGGTGCCTCAGAGACATGTCAGGCTCTCTTGTCTCCTCAAGATTATTGACCCAATGACAGTAGCCCAGTCACATGTTATCCTGGAAGGAACAGTAAAGCTGAGGATCTCACTGCATATCCTATGCACGCAACAGATGCGAGCACGCTACTGAGTTTTAAATAGAGGAAAGCAGATCTAGGATCTGTGCAGTTTTAAAAAGCCCTTGAGACTTCTGGGCTGAAGCATCCAATGACAAATGCTGCAGTATGAATTCTGCTTGGTTTAATCCAGATTTTATACAATTATGGGAAAAGAACTACTGTCAAAATTACTAGAAAACAGTAGCACTTGGTGCAAATAATCCTCTCCCACATTAAAAACACGTATTTTAAAAATCTGCACAAATGATCAAGAAAAGTTAGCAAATTTCCTAAGATTACAATATGGCATGAAAAAGCAATTTAAGAATTTAACAGGAAGTGCCAGCTCCACAGACCCTTCTACCTGTAAATACTATGAAAATAACAGTTGCTGTTGCAGAGGAAACAGTCATCACCTATTTTCTCTCTTGTGAATGCAAACGTTACTGATTTGTTTTGACAAGGAAAATAAGTGAAGCATTCAATACTTTATTTCATGATTGAAATAATAGTTAATCAACACAAAAAGGCTATGAAAAGTCAACTGTCTGCAGTATCATGAGCTAGGATTCATTTTCATTTAAAATGTGAAATATCAGTGCCACAACCTTTTCTTATTTTCTTCTACAGAGAGGTGATTACTTCATATCGGGAAATGAATCCTTGCTTGTTCAGACTTAACAAGAAAAGGGCTTCAGCTTCAAATTAATAGTTAAAACCAAACAGCATCACCTTCTTTAAATCCATGAAAAGTATTTGTAGACATAAACATGATGGATGCCTAGAAAGTGGAGCATTCATTGCTGAGGGGCAACAGATGCCACAATGAAGTCATACTCTGAGAGATGTCACTGGGCTCGGGATAACAAAGTGCCTTCTGCACGTAGTGCGAGCCAGACAGTAAGACATCCGACCTGTGCTGGGGATGGCATGGGCAGTGCAGCCCCAAAGGAGCCTTTGGGAGGCACCAGCTACCCTCTGTGCTTGGGGCACCAAGCTTTGGGGTGATGCAGATGCGTCTGACCAGCCCTGCTGGCAATGTGTGAGCTAACTGGGTAGTCACCAGGCACAAGGGGGAATGCAGATGCTTTTTCCAATCTTACCACTGCAACCCTTTTACTGATGGGAAGAGGAACCTCCCTTACAGCCCTACCAGTTTTCCCTCAGCAGTGATTTCCCCCATGCCGCAGAAACATCAGCCCCTGCCCCCGCCCCCAATATAACCACAGAGGTCTCGTTATCCTGGTACTAAAATAAGCTGGCAGCGTGGGACAGCCTCTTGTCCCCTGACTGTTTTTCATACAATAAGGAGAATCTCCTATCCCTAACTGAATTATTTTTAACTATGCACTATAACGAAGGAAACATTATCACGAAGAGGTATTGGGGCAAATCATTAGGCATTTTGTCTGTTAGACCAAATATTTTCACTTTCTGTCTAAGAGAAGGATGATCTGATGCTCCTAGAAAAAGCTGGCTACAAAGCTGCCCTTGGTACTAAATAGAACATGTCATTTTCTGGACTACCTTCCCTATTCTGGGACTTGCTCAATTTTCCTCTACAAGATGAAATAAATTGTGCAAAGCTTGCTGATCTTGCAGTCTATGAGGACAGCTTGCGTTTATACAACGTGCTTCACTTACTCAGACTATTTGAAGCAGTGTTCAGAGATACCCACAAGTAACAGTAATAGAAAATGGCCCCAAGGTGGGTAAGGCTCTTCTGATCAAATGTATAACCTTCCTCCAGGGGCAAGTGGCTAAGAAGTTAGCTGCTGTGGAATGGGTTAAATACTTATTTTACGATCAAACGTATAGTTTAATTGACATTAATTCAAACAGTGTATTAAAACCCCTCCGAGTGACCTGTAGGAAGTCCTCATAGGTTGTTTCAAGCTAATTGGTAATATCGATCAGATGCCTTGGTTGAGTGGCACATTTGGGTTTTATTGCTCTTTTTCTGAACCTTCCACTTCCTCTTCTTTTTTCTTTTTTGGCAATCCTCCACACAACCAGAGCTTTGCAGTTATGCACTCTGCAGTACATACTGCAAGCCAGGCATGTCCTATGAACATCTCCACTGGCTGTATTACCTAGCTCCTTGAACAGGACAGCGGGGTTCAGGAAATTTGGTCTTTTTCTCCTTTCTGTCACAAACTTGTCAAGCAAGACTGGAAAGGCTCTTCCCCTGTCTCTCTTTCTCCAGCAATGACTGCCCTGAAGTTATTAGACCCCCAGAGGAGGGGCCTCATTCAAGTACAATCAGCATAACTCAAGTGCCAATATTGATACTGAGGTTAGCAGGAAAGAGTGCACATCAATATGTAATTTAAAAAGTCGATCCATTACCTTTCTAGCCTTTGCATGGTCATGGCTAGCGTTTTGTTCAGTTCCTCTATCATCCGGCACCCTGAAGGGTGAATGGGCAACGTGCTGGACCCAGAAGGCAGGTGCTGGCTGTGGCTGGCGGGGGCTAACTGGGATGGCAGGACAGTGTGATGGTGCTGGGTCAAAGGCTGCTGGGAGCTCTTCTGCGTGGAATAGGATGAGAGAGAGAGGTCTGGCCCCCCTAAAGGCATGCAAATCATGACTTTCTTTGGAGGTAGTGGAGGTGACAGTTTAACTGGCATACAAGGCAGTTTCACAGGAGCGCCAGGATCTAAAAGAGAAGAAAGAGAGGCCCTGGTGTTAATTTCCATGCCAGTAAGATGGAGATCCCAGTAGCTGCCTGGGTGAGCAGGTACTGAGGTTGCTAGTCAACACGGGAGCGTGCACCCCCTCCCTGCTGCGACAGACAACTCGGCATAGTGCGTGCCCAGCACGGTCTTTGGAAAAAATACTGTTGTTTTGCAGCACTTCTGAGTTTCACAAAAAACATCCCAGGGCTGTGCATGCCCCCTAATAAACACACTAAGCAATGCTTAACAAGGCTCATGGCACACTTTGAGGCTTTAAAGCCCTAATCCTCCAAAACAGCCCGGTGAGGTAAGCGCGATGTCTCCTGCTCAACAGGCACGCAAATAGGGGGAGAGCAATTTGGTGTCTGAAGTTACAGGATGACTCACCACCATCACTGCTGGAGCAAAAGCTCAGGGACTCCTGATCCCTCCCAGCCACTGCAGTGCAATTACTACAAGTCACATTTCTTACAGCTTTGTAATGTGCAAAACATCTGGTGTTAAAAATTACGTTACAGGGCAAGAGAGAAAAGAAATAGGGTTTGAATACTAAACAGGAGTGGTCTGGAAAAATGAAGGGTACAGGAGAAGAAAATGATAAAGGGCAGAAGATTGTTAGGGTTAATGTGTTCTTTCACAGAAGACTTGGCAGGCGCTTTTCTCTGGACTCACACACTGAGTTTTAACCTTCTTAACTCCAGGCATGTTCCTTGAATCATACAGTTGACCCACCAGGCAAAGACTCCCCTGACTTCCATAGGAAATCAATGAAAGGTCCACAAGAAAATCTCTGCCAGGACTCAGCTGCAGGATGGAGATTTTTGGAGCTGCGCTGTGAAAAGTTTTCAGAAAGGAAGTTAATGGGAGGGCTAGTAGTTTCCAAGACGGGTGTGGGAAATGGCCACCATGTATGCTAAGAGCAAAAATGAGAGCAAATATACATGCTGTGAGCTGCAACTGTGAGTTTGTGTTCCAGGCCCTTTCCAGCCTGGAATACCACAGACATTTGGCTCTGCAATGCAGCTTTGCAGGCAAGGCTTGCACGCTTTTTGGCCTCTTGTTGCTTCAGTTCACTCTTTTTGCTGTAACATGGTAAAGGAACTGAAGATCTAGAGTCTTCTTTTGGCCTGAGAAAGCTTGGGAGTTAGACACTGCCCTCCAGGTTTCAAAGGCCATCACCCTCCTGAGCAATGCCAGATTTCTAAAGTCCTTTTCCAGATGGTTCTTTTTAGCATTATCTATTCTACTCCTTGCCCCCTTTATTCCTTCCTCCCTCCTGGCCTATTCTGGATATGGCCTGTATTAGTATCTGCATATAGTAGCCAGGGTGCACAAGGTTGACACTAGGACTTCCAAGCACTAACAGTTCTTGAAAATTATTAAGGACAGTAATGTGGAAAAAGACCATGCATGGAGCCAAACTCAGATATGATATTAGACTTTTTTAGTGCTAGTCATAGCTTCATTGCATCCACAGTATCCACCTGATACTAGTGTTTTTACTACGCTAGGAGCACCACACTGACAGCAAGTCTTCCCTTTCTTCAAAGCACTTACAGGCTAACGATATAGGAGAGGCAAAGGGTGCGCAAAGATGAAATAGAGGCACGGAGAGAAAGTGATCTTTCCATGTTGTGGAGTGGGAGAGTTACAGAGAGTGGAACTCAAGTCTTCCAGTTTTCAATGCAATATCATATCCACTTGACACATCTCTCGAAGGCAAAAATTCTTCTGATAGCTCTGCCAAGGCTGAAATATAACTCATGGGATTGCCAAACCACAGGGCACTGCCCTCTCCTCTGAAGCAGATTGCCTTCTGTACAGTAGAAAAAAAAGTACTTTTAGGGTTTTCTATTCAAGCACCGGAAGGTCTCCAAGTTACTGCATTTTTCTTACATACACGTTATCTGTGTATATTTTCTCTTTGTATCCTGCTTAAAAGAACACACCATCTTCAATAAAAGATAAATAACAGAAAGAGTAGAGAGTAAATTGTATAGAGCCCTGAGAATAAGGCTCCTATGGGAGTAACAAAATGTTTTCATACAGTTGTGCTCCAGGCAATTTCACTTCTAGAGCTGGCCCTGAATTACAAAGACTACGCTGAGATCTGCATTTCCATTTTGAAAAGTGCAGGTTTGACTGTTGGGTTTAGAACCTTTTTTGCTGTCTCTCAATGAACGTCTTCATCTGACAGTGCCTGTGCCTGGATGCCCCACCACTCTCTGTATGATGCAAGGGAGTCAACGGTGAATTCAAAGAGACCCCAACTGCAGGCATCTCTTGCTTCTGACAAAAGGATAACTGGAAGTATCCACTGGGTTTGCTGCATTCTGTCATCCTGAAGATTAGAGCAGTATTCTGTGCTGGGAGCAAGTACAGCATGCCAAATGGTTCAGGTATAAAGCAAACAGGAATCCTTCCATCTTTTTTTCCTAAAATATAGTGAAAATTTCCTTTCTCATGTAAGCATTCATCTAGTAGAGTTGTGACAGAGGCACTGCAGCTTTAGAGTTGCACAGGAGAACAAGTCTAGCTTAATTATCCTGAGTAACCACAAACTCCATTATGAATCAGATGTGCATACTCTGCTTTCCACTCTTCACCACAAAGGTATGGACCTTTAGTTTCCACTTAAAGAAATCCTTCACATCAACATGTTTTCAGTGGTACCAGTGCTGGGTGACTCCACTGGACACATGCCAAAAATCTTGTCCATTATTTTTAACATAAGGCTTTATTCAGACCGACTGTGCTTCATCCAAGTTCTTGAGCCTGTCTGAATATGGCCCTAATGCCTAAACAGAGCCTTGAAAATGAACCAGAGGCATTAAATCTACTTGTCTGCCCTTCACCTAAAGGAGAATGACTGCAATGTGAGGAGAGTTCGATCCATTTGCTCAGAAACACATCAGTATATCTTCACCGACATCAGTAAGGGAGACCTTGTACAGCAAGTTCCACCGCGTGGTCAGATCAGTGAGTGTGCTGAACAAATGGGGCCTTGCTCAAACCCATGGGCTCCAGGCACGCTGTTGGAAACTGTGCTACCATCATCCGGAGTAAATGAGAGAACAACTTGTCCCTGCGTGTAAGAGTGAGATGCCTGTGCTTTACAGTTCTTTCCTTTGTTTGTTTTAATTTCACAACATATGTGACGTATGAACCGGGGTGGAAACAGTTATTGTCTCCAGCATGGAATATCCATCAGACGTGGACATCTGTAGATGAATAAGAAGCTGGACAGTAGAAATATGAACAAGGAATCTGTGATAAGTGTCTTGTCAGTGGAACATTACCAGAGTCTTAAATCATTGCACAAAGCACTCCTGTGACAGAAGAGAAGCAAACTGTGTGAAGCCAGGTGTGCAAGTCTGATTAATCTATTTTGGCTGAGGTTCTTCATGCTCAAGAGAATAATGAGCAATTTTGCAAGATGTTCGTTCCCAGCGGGGTTGTGACCACTCAGCACTATGCATGGTTAAGTAATAACTGTGCCAGAATTGATGAAAGAGATGTTAAGATATAGAAACCTTCCCACTGCTGATGACAATAAATTACTTAAAAGACAGTTGTGGATGTCACAATATTTGCTGCACATCAGACCTATGACAAACAGGTCAGCCCTTACCCCTTCCGTATACATAATTTTGCTAATACCAATAGTTGCTGCATTTCCTCTTGGGTTTTTCAGGAGACAGATAAATATAATTTCATTTGCTGCACAGGTCTGCCCATGTATGGTTTTTCTGATGTGTTTGTGGTACACTGAAGCTGTACACTAACTACACCAAATCTGACGTTTCCCAGCCAACGAACGTGGCTGGAGAGCTGGTCAGCACATGATGCAGATATACCTGTTGCAGACAGAGAGCCAGGAAGTTCTGGATGTACGGCAGAAAACATTGCTCCAGCAGGGCTGCTAGAAAATCCTCAAATCCTCGCCCAGCACAACTACTGCATGGAGCAAGTGGGCATGCCTGGGAATCCTGGGCTTCTGGCTATGTTTGCTATCCTGCCAGTGGAAAAAAGCTCTTTCTTGAGTCCTTGTGATGCCAAACAGGAGCCAGCATTGTACCCCGACAGCAAGGAAGGCCAACAGCCTCCTGGATTATATGAGTAGAAGCATAGCCAGGAGATCAAGGGATTATTCCCCTTCTATTCAACACTCCTTGGACTCTATCCACATTACTGTGTCAAGCTTTGGGCCCCCCAGGAAAGATATCAAAAACCTAGAATGAGTTGAGTAGAGAGCCACCAAGATGGTTGAGGGCTGGAACACCTGACCTGTGAGGAGAAGCTGAGGGACTGGGGCTTGTTCAGCTTGGAGAAAAGAAAGCTTGGGGGGGGGGGAACCTAACAGCAGCCCTCCAGGACTATGAGGAGGTTATCAATAAGATGGAGCCAGGCTCTTCACAGTTGCACATGGTGGGAGGACGAGACAAGACAGGTCCTGGACTGGACTATAAGGAAAATGTGTTCCCCCATTAGAAGACCCAAACGATGGAACAGGTTTGCCCAAGCAGGTTGTGCAGTTGGTATCCTTTGAGCTTTTCAAGACCCGGCTGGACAAAGCCCTGAGAAACCTGGACTGATCCCACAGCTGGCCCTGCTTTGAGCAGGAGGTTGGACTAGAGACTTGCTGAGGTTCCTTCCCAACTGAACGACCTTATACTGTGACCTTTGCTGCACTATATACCATTATAGGCAATGCAGCTTGTCATAAAGTTAACGAGTTACTCTTTAAATTCCATCCAAGTAATTAATTCTGTAAAGTAATGTGCAAAAAAAAAATGTGGAAAAACCGGTGTAGCCTGTTGAAGTAGCTCCACAGGGGAAATGAGGTAATGTGCCTGATATTTGCAGGTATGGAAATACCAAATTTGCATTTGGAAAAGTAGCTTTTACTTTTTCAAGTCTTCTCTCCAGGAATCACTTGTGCCTGAACAGTGGGAGTCTCTTTTCTTCTTTCAGTGAGTTTTTTGAGCAGATTTATAAAGACAAGTTAAAAACTGTTCTGAAAGATCTGCCATGCATCTCCTGCTGCCTACAGCAAGATCTGCAGCCACGTCTTCAGGGAAGATTTGAGACTGAAATTCTTTGCCGTTCTTCTGCACTGTGTATGCGTCCAAGGCTCAAGCGGAATTTGGAGAACACGAGCAAAGCATGCTTAGTCTAAAGGTTGAAAAGCACAGCTCTGTATGAATTCCCATGCAGAGTCTTGAAGAGGGTTTCAGAGACAAGAGGATTTCCCGCTGCCTCTGTGTGCTAGGTCCCCCCCTCCAGGCAGTGGCAGGCCGAGGAAGTGTGGAGAGAGCAACTGCATCAGGCTCCAGATGCCCGTGAGAGCCTGGGAGCACGGGTGAAGGAGAGCGGCTTTTGCTCTGCTGCTTCTCCTGCAAGCACGCAGTGAAAAGAGAATTGTCCATTGCCCCCAGAGGAATGCAAGCCGTCTTCATGAACGTAGTCTGCCGGAGCAGGCAGCAGGAGGTAACATGGGAGAGGAGGAAGCTTGTGGATAACGTCTTGGGCTCGCCTACAGAGCAGCCTTCTGAGACACACACGACTGTTGCATTACAAAATACTGCAGAGAACATTTATTGGATAAATTGTAGCTGTAAATACTTTTATAATGCTGTAACTAACAACCGGCTTGTTGTGACAATGCGGCAGGACACCAGGCACCCATGTTATCAAAACTCGTCCTTGGCTTGTCTGCGTTATCAGAAGTAACTTTTGCGGACTCGTAACATTTCCTACCCTGTTAAATCTTTGCCTCTAATTATGAATTAGTTCTTACTCTACAGAGACATAATTAGAAAGCACAATCTCAGAACTAAAAATGTGCTATGCCTCTCCTCAAAATTTTGAATGAAGAATGCAATAGAATGCAAAAGGTTTTTCAAAGCTTAAATACAATAGCTGAGTGGCCAGGTATGACCCAGGCTATACCCTACTGTAATATTAGGCTAAATTTGGGCTCAAAAGCACTCAGGTCTTGCTGAGATCCCAGCTTAGTGGCCTATATTTTGTTCTCTGATGTTTTACGGGACTTTATGAGTTACTGGCGATTCAGTTGTTTGAATGGAAAATACCTAATTGATTTTAGAAAACATTATCTGTGCTGGTGAGAAGTAACAGCTTAATGAATCACGACCAAAAGGAGCTTTACGCTGCTGGGTTATGCTGTCTATCAAATCAGGTATGACCAGTCTTCTTGTCACTTCTTTTAACCATTTTATGATAACCTGGGGACTTTACCCTAGCAGTCCAATTAAATTTGGTCCCAGGTGATTATTTCAGCTCCTTCTACATTTTCAACTAAGGGGGCTGTATGCCTGGGTTCTACACATGGATATTGGAGAATTAAAAAGATGAAAGAAATTCTGTCCATGCACATTGTCTAACAATAATCACATCTGAAAACCAGTAGAAGGCTCACCAGGAGGTGACTGGCCAACAGCAAACGCAGAGCAGTGAAACACTGGTACCAAAACAGTTAAGGATCATGCTTTCCTCCTAGGGCTGCCTGTCTTCCCGGGCTGCATGGGTGCTTCCACACCCAGTGCTGTTCCCTGAGGAGGCAGCATCATCAAGAGCATGGGAGATGGAGTGAGGCAGAGCATGGAGCATCTTCTGCAGCAGCGGTGGCACCACTCCCAGGGGCTGCTCTGCAGTCTGCTCCTGGCTCTGTCCCCGTTCCTGCACTGTCCTGTCCCCACAGGACCTCAGCGTTGAGAAGAAGCATGCCAATGTTGTGTGATTTATATTTGCTAGAGGCAATTCTCTCTTACTGTTACCTTTAAAATGGATTTTTTCTTTTCATTCTCCCCAAAATTAAATGTGCTCTTATGTGTTTATTTTAGGCCTGCTCTTTTATGTGCATTTCTTATCGAGGGAAAGGCCAATGTTTGTCTTGGCACAGGCAGATAGATGTTTGAGATGGTTCACAAATGCTTTCAGAGGTGAGGAATGTTTCTTTTCCATTTCTAAAACCTGTATTAAGTCCTTTGCCAAATCCTGCGAAGTCAGTCTTCACGCCTTTATTGAAGAACTTTGGGATAAGTTCACAGCAAGAAGGTGGTCAGGTCAAAGGAAGCTTTTCTTTCCTCAAGTTTTGTATTTAAAATATTCCTCCCCCCCTTTTTTTTTTGCTGCTGACCGTAGTGATTTTATAATATATGTTTGTATAAAACATCTTTCTATTAAATAAATACACATATGTACACATACACATACATATATATATATCCAAAGACAGAAGTTAAGAGGCACTTCTGCATTTTCAGATGTGTACCTGAACCTTTCACAAGATCACATCTCCCCTCGCAGTCTTCTGCAGAAGACAGAGCTACCAGACCATTAAACCACTGTCACTCTCCATCAGCCAAGCCCAGTACGTCTTAATTTGTCCTTCAACCTTCTCACAAAATCTTCAGTAGAAAAATGGGCATGCAATAAGAACAGAAAAATCTTCACCTCTAACGCCAGAATTCAGATTTTACTTGTTTTCTCACACACAAGCTGAGGATGTCTCTGGAGTAATTAGTAAAAGAATAGCATTAATTCTGTCTCTCACTGATGAGGGTGCTTCATTAGGATTGATTGCTCATTTCCAAAGATTATACACAGCTAAAATAATTACCAGTGGAGAACAGAAGGCACTGAACAACATGTATATCCTTTAGACCACCAAAGTAAATGGACCCTTAAGAATAAGTTTAATACTTTTATTTATAAGGTGTGTATAAATGAGGCTTTCAGTTCCACCAGGAATAACTGCCAATTAAATTATGGCCTTATGACTAAACCCAATCTCTCCTCCTTTCCCCTGAGGGTTCTGTACATGCACATACAAGAGTCTGTCTATATCCACATACAAGAGTTTATTTAGGACTGGATGAGAGACCAGTAAAGGCCACCACAAAGTAAGAGAAGTCACAGTTCTGTTTCACTTTCAAAGAAGAGTCATCACCATCAAGCAATTGACTTATGTTGACAGCTTGAGCCTGATTCTACTTCACACAAAATTTCCAGCTGCAAAAAACCTGACACCAGAAGACCTCATCCTTTGATTCTTCTGCTATCTCTTACAAAAGAAAGGCTTACGAATGAGGGACGTTTTAGTACCTGAGGTTTTTTTCCCATGCTATTCCTATTTTTTTTATTTCTTCCATGTTGGCCTCATTTCTGAGCAGCTTCTTGTAATTGGGACAGAGTGTTATGGGAGATCATAGGAAGTTGGTTTTGTCCTCACCTGAAGCCATTAATACTGCTGCCCAGCTTTGCAGGCTGCAGAACTGCCCATTCTGTTTGTAGTATAAGGCAAAATATTAACCATTATGTGTAGATTTTGGCAGGCAAGAAAGTAAAGAGATTTCACATAAAATGAACAAAACTATACAGAACAAAAACGTGTGGTCATCCAAACAGAAACATGAAGAGACTACGTAGAGATACAAGAGAAAACCAGAACGTGCTCTTTCCTAATGAGCTCTTCCCTGATATATATCTTAGCCTGAATAAAATGGGTATTAACTGTCAGGAAAAAAACCCTATCTAGAATGTATTAACGTGGGCTGAGCATTTCTCACATCAGCCTTGAAAAGATCAGGGCAGCATTAACACAAGAAGATCAACCCAGTGAGAAGACTGGTGGCTGCCCCAGTACAGAAGTGCACTGCACCTCACCTTCAACTCAGGATTTTGAGGTGCTGCCTCCTGGGCAGCAGCTGTAATGATGAGCAGACTGTTCAAAAGGTGCAGGCAAGCATTTAGGGAACCATTTTTTGTCTGTGTAAATGTAGCCATCCTTTGCTTTGGTGGTCTAACTGAGAGGCTGGAGAGAGGAGACCCACCAATCCTCCTTCCACATGTACCTAGAGCTTTGAATCCCCAAGAGCCTGGACACTTGTGAAAACATCTGGAACACAAAAAAGGAGCCTGCATTAATTATCTACTGTTGCTAGCTGCCATGCAGTGAGAGCGAAACTGCAGCATAAACTGCAGGACACCAAAATCCTGGTCGTTGGGAACTGGGGCTGCCCGTTGTCAGCAGCACTCACCAGTGGGAAGGGAGTAGCCAGAGCAGGGGTGGGAAGGGAGAGCAGTTAGGCAGGCAGCGTGTGCAGGGAAGCAAAATGGCAAGAAGCCATGGGACAGGACGGCCCGTGGAAGGATCAGGGGGCCAAGTAAAAGACAAACGCACGGGAAGATAGAGGGTGTGTGCAGGGGAACCTGGCCAGACAGCAGCTGAGGGGAGAAGCAGCAACGGGTAAAAGGAGAAAGCAAACCTCTCCCTTTCCTCTCAACCCTCACCCCTTTTCTCATTAAAGGCATTTAAAGATATCCTAGCATTCTCCTGATACTTCCTTTCCCATCAAAGCACATCCTGCAATTTTTGTGGTAATGGTAAGTCTTGATGAATAACAGTGAGGAGGGTTAGGAAACGCAGCGGCGGTCTTAGGTAATTACAGCTGAGAGGGGAAGTGCCCTGAAGCAACCTTGATGAAGTTATAGCCTGAAAATGCTTCGTGATCCCTGCCCGAGGTACAACACAGACACATCACCAGTACACGCAACAACATGTGCAAACAGCATTACAGGAGGAGGAAGGACACTGAGAACCTTGCTGTAAAGGGCAGGTTTTTCCTACAAGGGTAATGGTGGTGGCCGAGGGTCCAGGAACACCTACTTACCAGTTAAGTGGCTGGCAATCCTGGCAATAGGTTTAGGAGGCAGGGCAGGGGGCTGTTTGAGGAGGGACAACTGTTTCACTGGGGTGTCCTCATGGTCTCCAGGGAAAGCGGCAGATTTTTTGGGGGGAAGTAGCAGGACTGGCTTAGCTGTAGGATCTTGGGACAGGAGGACGCCGGATTCATTGGATGTGGGGCTCTCTTCGGACACTGGAGGACACAACCACATCATAGACGCAACAACGTTACGAGCAAAGCAGCAGCGGATACAGCCGCAGTCAGACAGGAAAAGCAGCGCAGCAATGCAGATTAAGAATGACTAATAAATTTCACTCCAACATCATATAACATATAAAGGAGGAGAGAAAGAAAGAGAGAAAAAGAGAAGGAGAAGGAGTAACACACATCTACCCAACAGCCGAATTTCCCATTACCTCTGACAGAAGCCAGCTCCCTTGTGCCAGGCTGGGACGTATTCCCACATCTTGAACATAAATCAAGAGCCTTAAAATGTCACATCTCAGACGGTCTGTCCCCACAGCTTGCTCAGGACCAGGTATGTTAGCAGGTGGTCTCTAAACTTGTCCTATAAATGTAAAAGCACCTCACTCCATTCCTGCATAGCTGTGCAGGATCATGGATCTACCAGTTGCTCTTCCTCACTCAACCTTCATCCGCAGCTCTTTGGCATTAAGTGATGCAGAAGGGGGAGCTAACCTAGATGTGGCGTGTTGCCATCTCTCTGCATGGGCTGGTGAAGAAGTGCAGAGAGCCTCACCTAAGGAAGGGCAGCTGGCTGTGTTAGCTACCGAAAGACGCATGGTGTGAACATCACCCAACTCCACGCGGCAGCTAAAGGGCACGATGTTGTACCCTAGGGTTTAAAAATGTTGTCAGCGCTCTCCTCTAGAGTTCATTGGCACAGCTGAGACGTAGCCAGAGAGTTAGAAATTTGCTCTTAAATGTTCACAAAGTGCAGGGACTTTGCCTTACTCACAAAGAGGTTACTTTTGTAGAAGCAGAGGTTACTTTCTATGCCAAGTCAGTCAAAATTCCTCACGGAACATCCAGTGACAATCTGTATGCTGTCACCTCATTCTCCACCAGAAGACCTTTGTCTTCAACAAGATTTCTCAGGGCTAGACACTGAATGCCAGAAGACAAAAACTTGTTTCAAACAATTTAAAGTATCTAAGCATAATGTAAAAAAGATGTTACCTGTCCCATCCATGATCTCTGTGGTTGGGAGCACCTCGTATGAGCATGGTTCCCCAGATGCTGGACCTGACTCCAGTTCTGCTAGGGCTGGCAGGGATACCTGGCTGGAGCTCAGCACTTGCCCGGAGCCCAGAGGCTGCCCATTCTCCAAAGCTCCTTCTTCATTTGGTATGGAAAGTTCCCCATCTGTTCATAGTTGAAGGAAAGCAGAATGACAGCAGAAGAAACATAAATAAGATGCAGAAAGAATTTAAAATGAAATCTGCTATCTCTATTAGCTTGCTTGCAAATGAGGAACCTGAACTGAGATCTTGTATGTATACAGAAGACACAGGGATAAGGATCGAACCAATACAGTTTGTATCTCAAAAATACAACTTGTGCAGTGCAATTTTTGGAGATGTCCGACTGCGATGTTCTGTCCGCAACAGTTTCACAGAAGCCTGACAGCATTCCACTTGCCTTAAGGGTTTATTAAGATTTGGGAAAGATCTGTCAAATATCTGTGTTTATCCGTTGCTTACCCTAGGAAGGTCATTATGATCCATCGTCTAAGCTGGATGGTTCCTGACCATCCTCCACCCATGGGGCCATGTGGCCCCATCCAGCGCCACAAAATCTGGTTTCCCTCTCTTGAAGCTGGGAAGTCAGGAATGAGAATGAGCTAGAACTGAAGCTATGGAGCTTTCTTAAAGAATACTAATAAATACAGTATATAATTTATAATATTTTAATAATAATAACAAGAATTATTCTCTTACACCAATTTTTATGCTGTAAGGGACACAAGCAAAATCACAGAAATATGTCCCTATTTTATACGCAAATAAAAACATTACAGTTCCCAGCATCAAGATTTTAAGTAAGGAAGAGAATAATTTTTGTAGTCGCCCAGTGTAAGGTCTTGATACTGGGATACAGCAGATTCCATTTAGAAAGCTTGTTTTTAAAGTTATTAATAATATGTCCTCTATACGAGCAAAATTTCTATAACAGCAGCTGGTGGTTTCCTTCCTATCAAATGCCACTTCACATTAGAAATAATAAAGAACAGAAGAGAGGGATCAGATCATTCTCTGTGGTGTCAACCTGCATGATTTTTATCTCAGAACTTGTAATGCATAGCACTCTGGTACCTGGAGGCAATGACTATATGGATATCTCAATTACAATTGTATAAAGGAAAGTGTTCAGCCCCTACGGTTACAACTGGAAGCCTGAAAATATAACCAGAATGTGAACTGTAAAGGCTCAAAACCAGCAGGCAAATAAATGGACCCTAATTTTACTATGCATTTGAATTATTTTTTTAAGTGAAATTCAGGATTTCAGGATCTGGTTCTTGATTTTTGGGCACCTCTGATCAGCCATATTACTGCTCAATGTACCGAGCAGAGATGTACATCATGCAAGTGAGTGCACATTTTCCCCTCATGGAGCTAAGATGTACAAAATGCTTTTGAAAACTACTGAAAAGAGAAAAAAAATTTAAGTCTCACTTAAACATCAGGACACAGCAATTAACAAATACGTTAGCTGATAAGTATTCAGATTTACGTTTCTGCCTTTTAAAGCTTCTCTACAGCAAGTGAAGATGGTCTCCTGCTTATTTTGGAATTATGAGAAATACCAAGGTTTTGACTTTCTTGTTTTTGTTGGAGGCTTTTTGAAGACCTAGAAAGCTATTATGGTACACAGCCCCATCATACTAGACTGAAACCTGACCCAGGGCTTTCAAAGCAATCAACTGAGCTGGCTAAAAGGTAGCAACATTCATCAAAACTGAAGGTTTTGGCCAACTGTTCGCAGAATAGTCTCTTTCTAACTGCCGTGGTCATTCAATACAAACCTGTTATTTCCCTAGGCAGCAAAAATCAAACATCAGTTCAGCTGGTATTTAAGCTGAACGTTTTTCGACTTAGCTGTTTGGATGGAAATGCTATGTATTCTGTGCTTGCTCTGCCTCCCCTTTATAAACACACACCTTTACATATGTTTCGGATAGGGGCTGCTGTTGTCTCAGTTACCTGGTTTCATGAAAGAGCGTAACTGTTTCTTATGCAGAGCAACTGTTTCTTGAATGAAAGGCAGTGATTGTGTCCAGCAATATTCACCAATTCAGTGTGGGACTAAATAACTGTGAGCAGACAAAAAGTCTGCATGATAAAACGAGTAACATTTTTTTTTTTGAGGGATGTCTACACGTTTTTAATGAAGTGGGATGCCTACTGTAGCATGCTGACAACCTTGGAATCTTACTGTCTTAACTGCACTTTGCACTTCGCAAGGTGTATTCAGCATGATTTAAGAAGATAGCATTCAAATGACCCGCTGAAGGTTTAAGATTGTGAAAAAGTAAAATGCGAGAGAAAATTTTGGCTTTCACTTTTTGTCATACTAACAAGCATGACAGGTCTCTGTACTGACGGCACAACCTCTTTTAATCTTACCCCTGAATATCTCCAATCTTCATTTAGACTCTAAAACTTGTCCTTGGATTTGACTGGAATCATCAGACATGACACAGAATCATGACTGAAATATAAACCCTAAATCAGATCTTGCTTAGAGAAGAGCTACATGGGGAGCTGCTCAAGTGCAGCAAATAGATCAAAGATGCAGATAAAATAATTTGTAGTGAAGAATATCTTAATGTGATAATCCTGGATCAGAGACATGCTTGACAACCAGACATAAAAGGCAAATGACTTATTATTTTTAAAGTACTGAAAGCTATTCTGGTTATCTGACATACAAATGAAAAGAATCCTGGTAATGCAATTATTACATATACATGGATGAATCGATTGGTCTTCAGGAACTGGCTATGAGTTTGAAGTTAATTTTGCACAGTGATAACATATGTAATCTTTTGTTCTCACACTTGATAAATCCTTTGCTGCGTTTTCACAGGGCCTGCTGCTACTTAGTGGAGAATGACTTTCCCTAAGTGCATGAGCTTTGATAAGGCCAGCTGAGAGTGAATCAGCTGGATCTGGGCAGGACCAGAGCGAGTAGCTTGACCTCTGCAGCAACAGGAGCACACGAAGGCTGCTCTTCTGTTTCTCAGAAGGCTCCGCACACCTGAAGTCACTGAAGAAATGACCTCAGAGGAAACTCTCTGATGAAGAGGACTCTACCCAGACACTTGGATTCACCTTAGCATGTGGAAATAACGTCATGGGGTTATGCCCATGCCCAGAAATGCATAGATGATATGTTCAAAACATGTGTCACCTAAGCATGGTTTGTCCTCCTGAACTCACCTGCCATTTCCACTTTCAGGTACTTTTAAAAAATTGCGTGGTGCAAAGCAGCCTACAGTGCATCATGCTGACTGGTACAGACCAGTCCTTTTGTTGCTTCTTTATATTGGACCTCTGCCTACCTTCTCACCCTGTCTTTTCACTGGAACACCTTGGTCTAGTGAACTTCTTGCATGTCTGAGAAGTGCCAGAGTCATGTGTGCCTTCCACAGACAAATGACTAAGGAAGTAAAAATGATGAGGAGTTTGAAATCCCGACTTATTTTCCACTTTGGCTTGTCTCCTTCAGACTCTCCAGGCAAGCATTCTTGATGGCAAAGGCTGTGAAGGGCAGAGAAAAATTCATGTCCTTCTCTGCCATGGCCCCCATGGGCTAGGGGATGGAAAATTGAGTGTTCTTGCATGTGGGCAAGACTTATCCCTCAGGCTGTTTCCTAGCCTTGGTGGCTACTTTAGCATAGTGGCTAGGATCCTCCTTGACTTCAGTCCCTAAGCAGACCCCTGATTTTGTAGGATCCTGTGGAGTTTGAGACAGGCTGACATACGGACATCCTCCCTGCTTCTGGAGGAGTTCAAATCCTTTCAACATATTGAAACTGCAGCACAACCTCTGGTGGCTGCCTTGCCTTCCTCCTTGCTGCATTACCAAAGCTACTTTTTCAAACTTATGCTCACATACTTCCACAAAACCTGCCTCAGCATGTAAGTGCAACACTTCCAAATCCCGTCAGGATTTAGGTAACCTGAAATTTGGGGTTAAATCCATCATTTTGATTAGATAGAGAGTACAAAAATGCAGAAGTATAAAAGATGAAGACTGCCCAGGCTTCCTTGCAGAAGCATTGCACTATCAACTCTGAAGCAAGCAATCAGTACACACTCATATTCAGAAATTTCTCACTATAGGCTATCTCATCTACAGATAAAAGAAGAGATATCAAAATACTACAAGTAGATTTAATTCTTTGGCATGGTGGAACAGTGGGCAATTCTAAAGATAGCTGCTTTTGGGACACTTTCAGGTGAAAATCAAAGCTGTTTATCTATGTGTGGGAGCAATGGTACAGCAAAAATCTGAGTTCTTCTAAATGCTGTGGTTGCATGTGGTCTGAGTTGCAGGTGGAAGCTGTATTTTTAACCTCTCAGCACTGCCTGCCCACAAACTATTACAACAGCAGGTGCCTCATCAGACACTTCTTCAACATACTATTTTTCCAAAAGTTCACAGTATTTGAAAAAATTACAACCTTTGCCTACATTTTCAGAAGGCTCAAGTCACAGAAACCTGGAAATAGAAGAGGACAGAAACTGATTCAGCCATGAGTCTGGCCCTTGCCAAGAAAAGAGCCCTCCTCAGTTTCAGCCTGGAGTGGTTTCACTTGACTGGTTTAAACACGAGGGTCACTGAAGTGATAAAAGCGTTTCTTGTTTCCCAAATATAGCAGCTGGACTGCAGTGACTCTCCCATGTGTGAGCACTGCAACTTGCTAACTTCCACCTGGTGGTTGACACCAAGTCTTCTGAAAAGCCAGCAAATCCTGAAGCAAACAGGTCAGAGTGTCATTTTATATAGCAGGTGAACAAACTTGCTAATTCTGTTTTTCTTTAATGTAGAAGACATGATAAAACCAATACTAAGCACATTGCAAGGTCCAGAATTTTTGTTCTTGGGTCAGTCTACCCATATTAAGTATCCTTTGATCTGTATGGATTTTTTTAAGAAAGAAAAAGGCAAAATTACTCACTCACAGGCTGATTCTGTCTGCTTCATCCTCCTCTTTCGAAAGGGAGACAAAGACATTTAACATTATGGCTACACCTATTGTCCATGCAAGATGCTTCTTGGCATGGAAGGTACTACCATCATCAAATAAAGCCTTCTGCTATGAAGCGTTAAAGTCTGCTGTGTTTTCTTGAAGGATTAGAGATTACCTAACAGGAATGACAAGGAAAATGCTATTTCCACTTAAGGTTCATAGTGATATATAATATCCTTTATTAGAATTACTCTCAGATTATTACACCACTGAAGGAAATATTGCTTTTGCTCTACAAATCTTGCCTTACTCATATCCTTGTATCATCAAAGCTACTTGATCACTGCTACTATACTCGTGTATTACCACTTTCTGCTCTGCCCTACCTCTTTCTTTCAAGGAAGGGTACTAATTCTTAGCTTCCTGTGTTTGCAACCAGCAGGAAATAACGTAGGATACTGAATAAGTCCAGCTGTTTTGCATTATGGTTTCCCTTTTAGTGGCACCTGAGAGCGAAAAAGTCCGATGTCTCTGCTTTTTGCACTGGAAATAGGAAGAAGCAGCATGTATTTCATACTGTCTTTTTCTGATGAAAAGGTGAAAAATTACTATAAAGAGGAATTAATTTCTTTTTTCAGATGAGGACTTCCAGACAGCTTAGCATCCACTTCACAAGATGACACAGAAGATTGCGAACTACAGCATTATTTGATGAATGGAGAAAGCTGCAGTGCCTTGGTAGCAAAGCAGGGGGAATCTCCCCAGGCTGCAACCGAGAAGGCAGGGGCAGGCTGCACAGAAAAGATTTTTCCTGGGGACGCCTTTAGGTGTATGTAGGGGTGGGTTGGAGAGCAGCTACGTGTGGGATGTGAGGCAGGGATGATGGAGGGCACACCCTGGGTGGAAGGGCGACCAAAGGCTGACTTCTGAGCTGGCCAGGCCACTGAACACCCTTGGCCTCCCTTGGGCTGTGACAGACTCGGTGTGACAGCCTGGACTGTGCCTCACTGGCCGCGGGGATGCCTGCCTCATGGAGGGATGGGGTCCACCTCTCTAGGTGGGGCAGGGGAATCCTAGGCAGTAGGTTGGCCAACTTGGTACGGCAGGCTTTAAACTAAAGGACTTGGGGGGTGGGGTGCGTGGTTGGGTCACAGTCGCATCTGATGGGGGAACAAGTGTGTCTGTTCAGAGCAGCAATAAATGTGCTGTAGCTGCCTCCCAACTTAAGAGCCAAAAGACCAACTGCCCTAAAGGTGGGCTTGGCTGTGGCAGATCCTCTTTCATCCCTCCAGAGAAACCTAGGTGCTCAACTGCCTTGCTGAAATGCCTTTACACCAATGCGTGCAGCATGGGGAACAAGCAGGAAGAGCTAGAGTTCTGTATGTGGTTGCGAGGCCATGATCTCATCGCGATTACAGAGACATGGTGGGACAACACCCATGACTGGAACACTGCCATCGATGGCTATGTACTTTTCAGGAAAGACAGGCCTATGAGGCAAGGCGGTGGAGTTGCTCTTTATGTGAAGGAGCAACTGGAATGTATAGAGCTCTACCCAGGAGCGGATGAAGAACAAGTTAAAAG